CCCAAAATGAGTTTTGAAGAACAACATCAAGCACATTGTCTAGTTATTTACCTCATTGTTGAGTGTGGGATCCTGCTGTGTGTAGACTGACTTGGACATATGCCCAAATTATGACAGTGGGTACACATCAAAAATGCATTATTGACTTCAAAGTGCTTTGGGATATCTGGAGTTTAAGGCACAATTTAAATGCACATTGTTCTGCGTTTTTAAATTTTCTCAGACATGGTCATGTCTTGATTGATCAAATCCTGCTATTTCATCTGTGGCACAACCAGCCTAAAATCTGGGACAAATTGCAGCTAACATTTACCTAGCTTTTGTACAAAATGTTACAAAGGCTGTTAGAGTTAAAGCCCAAGAAAAACTTAATACAGCTACAACTTGCACCAGATAAGCTACAAAGCTTCAGGCAAGCTGCAATGGTAGGACTCAGGCTGGTTCACACTTTCAGTCTTCTGCTTTCTCCCTTTGTCACAGATGAGCATATTACTCATGAGGAGGAATAGATAATTCAGCTAGTAAAAATCACTGTAAAAATGGCCTGTTGTGCCATTTAATAACATCATGGCTAACCTGATAGTGATCTCAACTCCACCCTCTTATCTATGATCCCCACTAGCCTTTCTGACTGCTCTGTTCAATTAGAACTGAAAACTACTCACGTGTTGAATACAGAGGCAATGTCGGCAGTGGTGTCGTAATCTCAAGAGTCGCCAAGCTCTCATTTAGAACTGGAAAGTGAAAACAGACTTTACGAATTAATTTTCAAGACTGTGTTCCATTGTGTAAACAGTCTCCTTGTATAATGTGTGATAGCCTATGTATTCCCTTAGTAAAGAGACATCTTAGAGCAGACTGCACTCATCAGGATGTGCATGGGAGTTAGCAGCAACGCAGCAGTCTGATGTCTATGTGAGACTAATTATTGCAGGTCTCCTCTGAGCCACAACATGTCAATGATATGGTGAGTTTGGAGAGTGATAAGATGGCTCAGTAACGTGTAGATGTCAATAACTCAAAAAGCTAACCAGATATATTATTCATTCCATTAGATGAGTAAAAGTAAAGTCACCATAGTTCCAATCTCTCAGTAGAGAGACGATTGGTGGTAGTTTAACCAGATGGTCGCCATATCTCAGGCAAGGGGAGAGGTAGATGACAGTCCTTCATGGTAACCTCAGCCAATGCAGGAATTGAACCCACACTGTTAGCATCACTCTACATTGCAAACCAGCCAGCCAACTAAGCTACATGACCAATTAGGGTGCCAGCAGGAAGTGAAGGTATACATGTACCCTGAGAATTCTTAGAATGCTAGAATTTAGCAGTAAAGAATCACACCAACTGGTCTCATTCCCAATTCCCTGAACACTCCCAATAATCTTCCATATTCCCTTTCTTATTGAACTGTGTGAGTTACTTTTACAAAGCATTCACAGATCAAATTTCAATAATGGTATCAGACAGAGTGGTCAACATGTTATCACCTTGTTTGCAAGAAATTTTTATAGATATTATTTGTAATCCTTTGTGATTATTCTAAATTTTTGTTCTTTTCTTTAGACCATCCTTTAGACAAGGGAGGGATTGAAAACGAGATACTGTACTGCTGAAAACAGATTCCACTTTCTGTGATCTAACCAAGTTCACTTTTTATAGCTTGAATATGGAACCTGGATTCCATTCTCCAAGATCTTAGCTAGCTGTATGACCACTGTTGTAAAAGTAAATGTTTCTGCAAGTCTAATGTTAGGGACTGCATTAAGCTCCTCTGAATCTGATGATGTCTAAGAGGGAAAGGCAGAATACCTTAGCATCTCGAAGTGATCAGACCTGTTATCCTAGGTCTCTTCACAGTCTTTGTTGCAACGTCTATCTTACCAGTGTAACTTCTACCTGATTGCTATTATTCAATAAGCTATATCCTGTTTACAATAAGAGCCTATTCACATTACAATGCACTAGTAGTTTTCTTCTACCACTGTAAACCAATGAGGCCCATCAATCCAGTCAAGCAAAAAAGTTGTTGGCAGCAAAGTATCTCAACCACAAGGTGGTAATGGTTGGTATCGCAGTACATACAACAGTCACCTTTATTGACTTGCCTTTATGCACTTTTCTGTTCCAATTGAAACTCAAATTTAACAAAGTAAATTTCCTTTTCCTACTCTTTATTTCATCTTTGATCCACATCCCACCTCTCACCCACCAAGTTAACATCATCAGTAAATCTCAACATTATACCATGGAACGATATTCTTGAATTATCTAAACATTACACTAATGTGGTACCAGATTTTGTTTACTTGAAGATCTCTGATGGGTTTATTTACAACTAAACTAATGTGTACAATACAGAATAATTTCTGGACACAGCCTTTGCCTGGAGTGCTACAGTGCAGAGAACCTGTCACTATTGTTATGTGTAACATTCATTCATTTGTATGTTGTGCACTTAAAGGGATATGATAGAGTCATACAGCATGGAAGCAGACCCTTCGCTACAGCTAGTCCATGCCGACCATAATCCCAGACTAAATTAGTCCCCCCTGCCTGCTCCTGGCCATGTCCCTCCAAACCTTTCCTATTTATGTACTTATCTAAATGTCTTCTAGACATTGTAATTGTAGCCACCTTCACCACTTCCTCAGGAAGTTTATTCCAAACTTAAACCACCCTCTGAGTAAAAAATTTGCCCCTCATGTCTTTTTAAAATATCGCTCGAAAGGTGATAACAAAACTTCATTTGTTATTCAAAAATCACTCCTGTATGTTATATGTGAAAACACATAAACACCGGGTAATAACAAAAATTAACTATACAGAGATAAGATTTTACAATGTGCAAGTACAGAAATCTAAAGGTTTAACGGTCTATATATATTGTTTCAGCGGTTTGATAGCTCTTCAGATTTCGTATTCTAGATAACTCAGATATACAGTTTCTAAAAGCATCTCCAACACAAGCACCTTTGGAACATCACTCACAATGTTCTAGGTACATCATAACCCTTTCCTTTCTGCCCACAATCATATATCTTGATTCATATGGCCCTACTCCCATATCCTGTGCCATTCTCTTTGGATGACTAAAGCAGTAACATTCCAATATGCCACTAGATGAGAGGCCCAGACTAATGTCCTGAAGGCATCCAACTGTAGAGGATGACAGCATTTAGATTCAATTAACATGTTCAATTGCCTTGCAAACATCTGGAATTGAAAGATAGTCAGGCACCATGAAATTGTCATCGATTTTCACAAAATCCCATCTGGTTCACAAATGTCATTCAAGAAGGGAAATCTTGAGTCCTCATTCGTCCAGACCCACAACCATAAGGTAGATTTTTAATGTGTATCACAGCACTTCTGAACGGGTTGACTAAAAACAAAAATAAAAAAGAGCTGAGTACTTCACCCGTGGGTAATTGGTTTCTGGACAAGGAAAAGGTCCAGAAGGGAAAGGTGGAAACTGACGTTTGTGCTAAACTATAGTCTTACAATGAAACTCTTGAAAATCTCTGAAATTCTTTTGCTGCCTATTTCAACACATAGGTGTCAATCTGTCTGTTCGTTAAAGTGGTAGTCCATTTGTGCACATTAATAGTTACATGAAGATCACATTTTTTACCACGAGGATTTTAAAAAAAATGTGTTCAGACACTTAACACAAGTCATATAAACTGCAAGTGCTGTCAGAAATGTATGATATATCATCCATTAATAATTATCATAGATTTCCAGGTTATAGCACAGGAGGCCATTCACCCCATCATACCTTCACTGTCTTTGCCACCTACAGATTGTTTGTGCATCATTGAGTCAGAGTCATATAGAAAAGAAACAGACCCTTCAGTCCAACCAGTTCATGCAGACCATAATGCCAAACTAAACTAGTCCCACGTAGAATTATAGAGTTGTACAGCACAGGACCATCTCGTCCATTCCAAACAGATACTAAATTAATCTTGTCCCATTTGCCCATATTCCTCTAAATCCTTCCTATTCATATATCCATCCAGATGCCTTTTAAATATTATAATTGTACTCGCCTCCACCACTTCCTCTGGCATCTCATTCCATACATGCACCACCCTCTGCATGAAAAAGTTGCCCCTTTGGTCCCTTTTAAATCTTTCTCCTGTCACCTTAAACCGATGTCCTCTAATTTTGGACTCCCCTACCCTGGGAAAAAGACCTTGGCTATTCACCCTATCCATGCCCCTCATGATTTTATAAACCTCTATAAGGACACCTACAGCCTCTGATACAGACCTAGCCTGTTCAGCCTCTCCCTATAGCCTAAACCCCGCAATCCTGTCAACATCCTTGTAAATCCTTTCTGAACCCTGTCAAGTTTAACAACATCTTTTCTATAGCAGGAAGACCATAATTGAATGCAGCATTCTAAAAGTGGCCTAACCAATGTTCTGCACTGCAGCAACATGACCTCCCAACTCATTGCACTGACTGATAAAGGCAAGTGTACCAAAAAAACCTTCTTCACTAACCTGTCTACCTGTGATTCCTCTTTCAAGAAACTATGAACCTACACCCCAAGGTCTCTTTGTTCAGCAACAATAGAAACGGTGACAAAAACATAGTTTCTGAAACTGACCTAAAAAGCATCTGGAGGCTCCTGGCTGAACAGCTCCATTGACAGGCACATTGATGACTTGGCGTGGGAGGGCATATGGCTGGAAAAACTGGAACCCAGCAGAGCTGACAACTGGGCTGTTAACAATCAATTCATCGCCTCTGGCTGAAATGAGCAAATATGAAATGTAGTAATTATAAGAGATAGTAGGAACTGCAGATGCTGGAGAATCCAAGACAACAAGGTGCAGGGCTGGATGAACACAGCAGGCCAAGCAGCACCACAGGAGCAGAAAGGCTGACGTTTCGGGCCTAGACCCTTGTTCCTAATGGTTCTTTTCTTCCCCTCACATTTCAATTTATTTTTCCTATTCCTCCCTTACACTTGATGATCCCAACCCCTGATTCCGTGGCAGAGGAAATTTGCGTCAGTTGTTGCCAACCTGAGCCAGGCCACTAGATGGAGCTGGAGGAGCACAGCAGGCCAGGCAGCATCAGAGGAGCAGGAAAGCTGACGTTTCGGGTCGGGACCCTTCTTCAGAAATTTCTGAACTTTCCTGCTGCTCTGATGCTGCCTGGCCTGCTGTGCTTCTCCAGCTCCATGCTGTGTTATCTCCGACTTCAGCATCTGCAATTCTTGCTAACTGTAACACCCCCCAAGGCCACTAAATGGCAGACATGAGCAAGCTGCACTGACTCATTCCTTCCATATCTTGGGTCAAGTGCCAATGTTTCATCCAGTTCCAAACAGTTTATTTTATGCCAACAACAAGCATGAACCAGCATTGCAACATTCCATGGTGTATTTACTGTTGATATAAAAACTGGAACGTCCCATCAGCCTCCCCATGCAATCGACAATAACAACTTATCGCCATATAGCACTTTTCATGTTGTGATTCATCTCAAACAGCGAATGTTTTTAAACAAAATTTGACCCCACCCTCCACAAGAGGTTATTAAGATAGATTATCTAAAGGCTTTGACTAATGAGTTAAACATTAAATTTACGACAGTTTAGGTTTAAAGTGGAATGGCCCCATTCAGTCTGAAGACTCAAATCCATATATCCTCACCAAGCAATAAGCAAATTGTAAGACCACCACTTGGATTTAATTTGATAGAACCAAGGGAAGACACAAATCTAATCTGACCAATCACATCCCAAAAAGAGTTCATAGCTTTCCAGACCTGAGTTGAAGAAAGTGTCTGATCCAATCTGGGCCACGTGGTTTTTCAGTTCCTTCAGATGGTTGATGTCCGAAAGGTAGCATGTTGGAGATAAGATGTCCACTGCCTTGGTAAAATGTTCTGGAGAAGGAGGTGGATTCTCCTCATCTAAAATTACAATTCCCATGCATTGGTACATATGTCTAGTTTTGTGGCAGTACAGAATGTGGAAAATTTCTAAATCAGTGTCACAGAAGTGGTACAGTACTAATGGAGGCCATTGACCCATCATGCCTGGACTGGCTCATTAAATGAGCATCATTACCTTATAAGACCATAAGGCATAGGCCATTCAGCCCATTGAGCCTGGGCCTAGGTGATATTTAAGGGAAGACAGGCCGGAGTGGTCTGTACTCTTCAGACTTACACTTAGTGGGGAGAAGGCCCTGCTGTACGATTAAACAAACCAGGATCTGAGAAGTGAGGGAAGAGTTTTAAACCTCAACATATGTCAATTTCAATGGCAATTTACTAGAAGTGAAATATTTTCCTTGCGGTAGCATCTCGGGAACGCTCCGTTTCTCAAGCCAATCGACAAAGAAGTGGGGACATGGATCCATTATTGTCAGGGCTACATCATCACAATGTTGCCCTGAGATTTCCAGGGCTTCTGCTCATGGACATAACTGGGACAACATAGGTACAAGGTGAGATAGTGATGAGACAGTGGGAAGGAGAGTTTCAAACCATGTAGCCTCTCACTCATTTGAAAGTGCCTCTTGGGCACCCAAACAGAGGAGATTTTATGACCGGCCTGAAAATTACTGATACCTATGTTCACTTTGGCTTGTGTCTTCTCTTTTATCTATTTGAAGAAGCTCTTGCTGTCTGTCTTGATATTACTTGCAAGTTTACCCTCAAAGTTTATTTTCTCCGTTTATTGGATTTTTTTTTGTTGGTTTAGAAAGCTTACCAATCCTTCGGCTTACACTAATCTCTGCCACAATGTATGATTTTTCTTTCAATTTTATGCTATTGTTAACTCCCCTAACAAACCACAGTTGGTTTTCCCCTTCCTAGAACCTTTCTTTTTCACACATCTTTGCTGTGAATCATGATCTATTTTCTTAAATGTCTGCTATTTTTTCATCCACCATCTTTGCTGCTGAACTCCTTTGCTAGTCCATTCCAGCTAACTGCAGCCTCATTCTTTTTATCACTCTTATTTACATTTACTGTTTAAAGTTTATACCCTTGCAACCCTGGTCTTCTAGCCTCTGTACTATCTGGCCCAATATCCAACAAAGGGCTTAAAAGCAGCAAGATCCTGGATTGAGCAAATCCAGGAAAAATTGGTGGATTCCCCTCCTCCTGAAAGGGTACATCCCTTTCCAAGTGCTGCAGAGCATCTGGAGGATAAACGCTCCCTGCATTCATAGAATGCCTACAGTGTGGAAACAGGCCCTTTGGCCCAACAAGTGCACACCGACCCTCAGAGAATCCCACCCAGACCTATCCACAAGACCCACCTAATCTACACATCCTTGAACACTACGGGCAATTTAGTATGACCAATCCACCTAGCTTGCACATCTTTGGACTGTGAGAGGAAACCGGAGCACACGGAGGAAACCCACGCAGACACGGGGAGAATGTGCAAACTCCACAGACGGTCGCCTGAGGCTGGAATCGAACCCGGGTTGCTGGTGCTGTGAGGCAGCAGTGCTGACCACAGAGCCGCTGTGCTGCCCAGAACACCGTACTGCCCTGATTGTTCATTGTGCATTGTTCAGAAACTGGAAGAAGAATTATAGTTAGCTGTGTCAAGATCCAAACTTGTCAAAAGAGAAATTCATTTTACTATTCTTACCATGGTTACTTTGGATAAATCTTTGCTCTTCGACAATATCCGATGGAGAGTGGAGAGTTGGTTTTGTACTTATTTCATTGTCTTTGGTTTTAGATTCTGACAAAAGATATTATTTTAAAAGAAAGTCATATCTAAAAGTTGAAACTGTCCTCTACTTAAGTCACAGTTAGACAGTGTTTTTCAATTGAATGTGCAATTCCATGTGCATAGATCACTGAAAGTTGCCACCCAGGTTGATAGCATTGTTAAGAAGGCGTACAGTATGTTAGGTTTTATTGGTAGAGGGATT